GCCCGGTTTCCACCTCGGTTCGAACCTTCGGTTGAAGCCAGACCGATTTTCTGCACCCCACAGTCCCCCTCCCCGCCCCCCGCCGCGCTGAGCGGCCTCAGAAGGATGAGGGAGGGAGAGACCGGCCACCCCCTCAGCTAAAGGCAGCGTCCGGGCTTTGGTTCCCCTAAACACACCTTCAGGTAGCGCTTTTACCATTTCACACACGTCACTTCAACACCAGCAACGCTCACCGTCACAAAAGGCGGGAAGGAGAAGCTTTAATCCTATTTTTAATCCATCTGCCAGCGCCGGTTGTTACTCCTTTCTCCGGAGAGAAGCCTGGCACGAGGGCTGTCTCTCCTCGCGCTCGTCCACAGACACTCGGTACAGTGGAGCGTAGGAACTTCAAGCACCACCATGGGGAGAAAAAAACAGGTGAGGGGATAAATCTTCTGCCGCACAACTCCTTGCTGTAGTCACCAGAGGGCATGCGTCCACTGCCGAGAGAAGCCTGAATACAACAGTCGCGGGGAGAGATCCGCAGCTTGGGTTGGGTTTGTTTTTTCAGGTCCAAACCAGGGGATAGAGTTTGTTAGGCCCCGGGGATCCCAGAGCAGGTCGAGCTGGGAGCCGTCGGCCTCATCCGAGGGCACTGCCCTGCTTGCTGCTTGGAAAAACACCCACGCTGAACCAAAAAAAAAAAACCAAACCAGCCCGGCTCTAATTTTCCACAACTTTATTCCAGAAAGGCCACCGAGCCGCGCAAGAGTTACAGAAGGCAACTGGAACGGCGGGGCGGGAGTTTGGGGTCCAGCCGCCGTCGGGCAGAGAGGGGAAAGGAATTAAACTGCTGTATAATTTCTCCGGTTTTGAACCTTTTTTCCCTATTTTTCAACCCAGCAGGCTCAGCGAAAGCTTTCTGTGCCAATTAGCGAGGAGAAATAAACCAAAAAAAGCTTGACCCAGCTGAAAATAGGAGCATCGGTGAAGGCGGTTAGTGCAGAGGGCCTATTTTTCAACCCAGCAGGCTCAGCGAAAGCTTTCTGTGCCAATTAGCGAGGAGAAATAAACCAAAAAAAGCTTGACCCAGCTGAAAATAGGAGCATCGGTGAAGGCGGTTAGTGCAGAGGGAAGGGAGTCGGGGGTGGGGGGGGCGAAGCTCGACGGCCGCCTGCCGC